GTGTATTTCCCATATGTATGTGGCTTATTCTTTTTCATGTTATTTTACTTCTCTCTTTAAACACTTTATTATTTTTGAAATATTTATTTTTTCTATGACTGTCTATGTCCTTTATTTTTCCTTTCTTAAGCCTCCATTTTTAAACACACTGAAACCTGTTTAGAGGTTTTTTTTGTTTTGTTTTTTTTGTTTTTTTCCCCTATCTGGACCTCTTTTACTACATAGCTCTAGTTTTTGTTTGTTTGTTGTTTTGTGACTGCATGAGCCTTTAAACTGCGAAACTGGTGTCTAGGACCATCACTGTGGCTTTAATGTCTGGCTCTGCCCACTTCTAAGGTCTTCAGCAGCCAAATCTAAAGCTTGCAGGCCAGTGGGAGGTAGGTGACAAGAACTGCATCCAATCCCCCAGCTTTGAAATGCCAGTGTCCTGCACTGTGGAAGGTGTTTTCACTTTATGCTTTTCTAATTATCATGTAAAAGGCTGTTTAAGTGCTTTCCTATATGGCACAGTTTCTTAAAGAAGCCTTATCCATTTTTTGTTTTGTTTTGCTTTGGTTTTTTTGTTTGTTTATTCATTTGTTAGCTTTATAAGGCCCTGTGTGGATATTCAAGCCTCATGTTGGTACACAAAAATGTATTTGAGGTTTTATTTTTTTTTCTGCCTGCCACCAGCTCCCAAATAAATACACAGAAACTTATTCTTACTTATGAATGCCTCGTCTTAACTTGGTTTTTTTCTAGATAGCTTTTCTAATGTAAATTGTCCTGTTTCTCTTTAACTATGTTTTGCCTCTAGGCTTTTTATTTTTCTTTTTTCTATAAACTTTCTTTGCTTCTTACCCCATGGCTGGCTGTGTGGCTGGGTGACTGACCACATCCTCCTCCCCTTCTCCTTTTCTTCCTCCTCGCTCCTCTCTATTTTTTTCTAGCCTAGCTTTCTCCTCCTTCTTATTCTCTCTTCCTGGCAGCCCCACCCATTTCTCTCTCCTGCCTAACTATTGAATTTCCAGGTCTTTATTAGGCCAATCAGGTGTTTTAGACAGGCAAAATAACACAGACTTAGAGTTAAGCAAATGCAACACATCTTTGCAGCAATAAACAAATGTTCCACACTATAAACAAATGTAACACATTTTAAACTAATATTCTACAACAAGGAAGTCTGTGTGGGATCGACATTGGCCTTCTGCATATATGTAGCTTGGTATATTTGTGGAACGCCTGACAATAAGAGCAGGGCTGCCCCTGGTGCTTTTATTGGCTCTTGAGAAACTTTTCCTCATGAAGAAAAAAAAAAAAACTTTTCAGTTCATGCAGACTGAATACAGGGGAAGGCACTCGGTCTTATGGCAGCTTAATACGCCATGGTTTGGTGATGCCCAGGGGAAGTGTGGCCCTTTCTGGGTAAATACAGAGGAGGGGTGCATTGGGGGATGGACGGGAGAATGGAAGAGAGATTGTGAGAAGCAGAGGGAGGAGAAGCTGTAGTCAGGATGTAAAATTTTAAAAATTTAGCAGAACCAGGGAGGAATGCTGCTTTCTGGTTTGCTTTTTGTGGCTTTCTCAATTTGCTCTCTCATACAAGCCAGGACCATGGAACTGTCTAGTAGTGGAATTGTCCACAGTGAGCTGGGAAGTTCCAGATCACTCAGTAATCAAGAAAGCACCTTCAGAGACATTCCCACAGAATAATCTGAAGGAAAAAATACTTAATTTGGGTTCCCTCATCCCAGGTGACTCTCATTTGTATCAAGATGACAAAATCAACCATAGAATTTATCCTTTATGAACTTGACACACAGACATCATTATTTTTTTTTTAAAAAAAAAACTTTCCTTTCTTATTATTTCTAAGATCTCATGTTAATATCATGATATAAAGCATGGCATAACTTTAGAAGTCTTAGAGTCTCTAAAGTATTTGAACACTTTAAAAGTTTAATCTCTTTAAAATACCCAAACCCTCTTTCAGATTCAAAGGCAAGATAGATAGATAGATAGATAGATAGATAGATAGATAGATAGATAGATAGATAGATAGATAGATGATAGATAGATAGATGATAGATAGATAGATGATAGATAGATAGATAGATAGATAGATAGATAGATAGATAGATAGATAGATAGATATAGCTATATATTCAAAAATAAAGGCACAGTTACAGTCAGAGCAAAGCAAACCCACCATTCTCCAGTGCAAATCAGATAATATCACTCAGTCTCCAGTCTTTGGAGCTCACTCATGATCTTCAGGGTTCCAGAGGCTTGGACAGTTCAATTTACCTGGCTCTTCAATCCAAGGCACACATAGCTTCTTCCATGCTTAGGCAATCTCCACTCCATAACTGCTACAGTCTTGGTGATCATCCGCAGAAGTCATGACATCTTTATCACGCTGGGGTCTGCACTACAACAGAGGCTTTACCTTTACTAATAGCCTCTGGCATTATCTTCAGAGATTCTGTTCTTACCTCAAGACCACAAGCCTCCATTTCTCTCTATATGACCTCTTCAGTCATTTTACTTTTCTTGGAAGACATTTATATATTATTGACCAAATTTGGCTGCCATCTTAAGATGCAGTTTTGGTCCCCTCTAGACCACATCTGTGTGTAAACGCTGGTTAAATACATCTTAGATTTCATCTTAATGATACTGGTATCTTATTAATCACAGATAATTCTTCAGATCCATCTCACTAGCATAAACTATCTCAATAAAGCAAAAGTTTCACTTCAGAGGTATTGGTCTCTTGTCAATCAAAGCTGATTGTTCTGTCCTAATTGACCAGAAACTACAGATTCTTAACTCAAAATAGCACATGAATATTCCAGAGTTTGTGGGGGACTCTCAAGCATCCCTCTGAAACTTTGCAAACAGGGCATCCATTGTTAGTATTCTTACCATCCAAACTCCCTCAACATCTCATTAACCATGGCCAAAATGATCCGGATCCTCTACTTTTCAAATATAAAACATACTTTCAAGTATAAAACACCACATGGTCATATCCATCAGAATGGGCACCAATTTTCTGTTTCATTTACTTTCCCTGTTGTTAAAATAAAACATTGATCAAAGAAACTTGATAATGAAAAGGTTTATTTCAACTTACAATCTGTAGTCAGTCATTGAGGAAAGTCTGGGCATGGAATCCAGGCAGAAATGGGAGAAGAACCACGAAGAAATGATGTTTATTGGCTGGCTTCCCATGGTTTGCTCAGCATGCTGTCCTATGCAATTCAGGATGGCAAGACTCACAGTGAGGGAGGCCCCCCCCCACATTAACCGTTAATCAAGATAATGCCCCACAGAATGCACGCAGGCCAACCTGATGGAGGTAACTTTTGTGTTGAGGTTTTCTATTCCCAGGTGACTCTAGTTTGTGTCATGTTGGTAAGACTAACCAGACCACAACAATTACAACACAATTCTAAACTTCCTATTTTCTAAAACTGTCCACAGGGGGCACTGTTTCCAAACAGCAAATGACTTTTCTGTACAATAGAGCAAAGATGCAAAAACCTTCTTTCTCTACTGCTATAGCAAGAGTCTCTTGACTCAGCATATTTTAGATAACGATGGGGGAAGACTCTCAAATGCCAGAGGAAAGCTGATGGCCAAGAATGGCTCTTCCTGCCAGGCCCTTTGATCTCCCTATGTGAAGATATCTAAGTATCCTTAATCTCAGAGCAACCTCTGTACATTTCTCTTGGTGTCCTGGTTATATTTGTTTTCTGGAGATCTCCCAGGAAAGAGTGAGCTGCTTCTTGCTCACATGGTGACCTTGCTGTCCATCCTGAAGCTTAGAGTGCTCTGTGAGCGTCACTGTGCTTTAGTCTATCTTCACAGAAGAAACACCGTGCTGTCTCGCTTTGAACAGAGACTTTCCTGTTGTCTGAGTTCCCCACACAGCACTGAAGCTGCAGGAGGCTGCAGAGCCCAGGTGGTGCCCCAGCCTGATGGCTGCATCTGTGTATTTGCAGCAGCTGCTCTGGAACTGAGAGGCAGCTCCTCATCTCTTGTCCCTCATGGTCCTTTCCTGCATGTACAACACCCTCACCTGAGCTTCCAGTGCTTCCTGAAGCTCACACCAGGAAGCCAGCCTGCATAGGGCATGGAGGGCTTTCAGACTGAGGAAGGAAGGATGGAAACTCCTACTGAAGGGTCCTCTGACAATGGAGTGGAGGGAGATGGGTGTTCCTCTGCCCTGAGTCACAACTGCAGAACTGTACACAAACCACGTGAGACTTGCAGAGTAAGAGAACAGGGTACCAGTCTCGGGCACTTTCAAGGATTTGACATGATCTGTAAAACTCTATAATGCCTTTCTCTATTACAAACACACAGGGCATTGTCCCTGCAGTCACCGTGTGCTGTGGCATACCAGCCCTCCTGCCCCTGTCACTCTGGAACTCATCGACTTTGATTTGTTTTTGTCACCCCACCTTCTCCTTACGGGTCTTTAAAAAATATTTTACACAAATCTTGATTGTAACAGGAGTGTCCAAATTTTTATCTATCCCAAGAAAAGGAGATCATTAAATTCAAATTACATAATAATAATTACCTCATTACTCTGTATGATTAGATCATCTCCTTTAAATTAATTCAAAGGTCAATAAAAATATTTTAGTCAAAGCATTGTCTAATTTCTGGCTATAATAATTAGTTGTTTTTATATACCATACCCCACCTGAGACATTTTCTTCTTAGGAGAAACTGGTCCCTTATTCCTCAGGGATCCCTCACATGTCTTACAACATCAACATCATCAAAGAAGGACCATCTCCATCCACTGCACTCCATGCAGACTCTCATTCAGGTCTGGTTTAGGAGGAGCTTCAAACTCATAAGACTGGGAGGGAACTCAGCAGAGTTTGACATGGCAGAGTTGCTGGGTGGAGCTGACTGGTTGTAGGAGGAGGGACACTTCAACAGCCATCCTGACACCACAGCCCAGGGGTTGGTTACTTTCTTCTGTCTCCAGCATCCAGACAAGGACGATGAAGAGGCAGCTGTGCTTTCTGCTAGGGCTGCTGTGCACCCAGATTTGCTGTGAGTGTGGCTATCCACATTCAGGGGACAGAGAGGATTCTGTTCAGCACATGGAGGGGTGGGAAAGCAGCTCAGGCGTCCTGCAGATCTCCCACCTTCCCAGAGGATATTGGGGGCGGAATTCAGGGTTCTGTGGATGCTCAGTGATCTCCATCTGTGTTTCTTTCTCTGTTTCTAATCAGGGGTGAAAGGGCAGCAAGTGAAGCAGAGTCCTGAGTCCTTGGTTCTGCAGGAGGGAGAGAGCACAGAGCTGCAGTGCAACTTTTCCACCGTGGCAACCCAAATGCAGTGGTTTCACCAAAGTCCTGGGGGACACCTCATCAGCCTGATTTACAATCCTTCTGGAACAAAGCAGAGTGGAAGACTGACGTCCACGACAGTAGCTAACGAATATCGCAGCTCTTTGTACATTTCCTCCTGCCAGACCACAGACACAGGCACTTATTTCTGTGCGATAGATACACAGTGCTCCACTCACACCTGCAGCCAGCACACAAACCTTCAGCTGGATGGGTGTGGCCTTTCCCAGACACAAGATTCCCAGAAATCACAACAGAACATCTCTCTAATTTATATCTCCTTTATATTTTTATCTTCATTTCTCAATATATACTCTCTCCTAAAGCAGAAATCTTCAGCTTAGAACTAACAGAAAAGCTGGTGGGAGGACTGAATTAACGTGAGCATTTAAGCCACGGTTTGCTGAAGTTGTAAACGGTAGGGAGCAAAGGGAAAGAAAGGCAAAAGGCAGCCGTCTACATAAAATGGCTGTGGACAGGGATGCAGCTCAGGTGTGTCTCAAGCACATTCAGTCCTGACCACAGTGGGCCACAGCAAGGGTGGGCACATGCATCTGACCTACTGATGCAGTAGGAAATTGTCTCCAAATGTTCCTATGCTGTTGAGTAACACTTAAAGGTGCATTTTCCCCTCATCTGCCTCAGACCTGTTTATATTCGTGGAATTTCTCGGGACTAGGAACATGCCCATTCTGAAGAGTGGTCTCTGTATGTTTAAGCATATGGCCTTGGCTGGCTGGCTGGCTTTGAGTTCTCCTTTTTTTATAGTCTATTTTCCTTTTCTTACTCTTTTCATTGCTCTTACTCATTATGACCATTAAGCTACTGGAGTCTCCAAATATTATTGTTTAATGTTTTTTTGAAGCCCTGTCAGTTTTGGCTTTATGTATTTGTAAAAATGTTATTAGGTAGATATAGAATTATTGCAATTTTCTAATGCATAGCATTTTATTTATTTAGGATTCAACACAGGAAATCATTCTGTCACTGATCTATGTCCCTAGCTTTGAGACTAATTATTTGGCTGCCTTCCTGTGCCCCTTTTCATGGGAGGTTCAGCCCATGCTGTTAGCCTCATCCTCTATGACCAAGAATCCATAACTTCTATCCTTAGATGAGGTTCCTAGACTCCTTCTAACTTAGCTCTACCCACCTTGCCAACCCTATCCATCCAACTGTACACCCTTAGGTTCACCTTTACTCAGATACCAGATTTGCAACACCATCCGACACATCCCTGCAGCCCAAGGACCACTCCTCTGTGGGGAGGAGCAGTAGACCAACAACTCCACAAACTTCCACCACCTGCTAAGATACACGTGGTGTCTAACCCACCTGCCTTCCTGCACATCTTTTGGCATACCACCTTTCAGGTAGGAATATTCACCTCTCTCAAATAAGCACTTCCAGACCCACTGAGCACACTTGCCCCATCCTCAATCTGGGAGACTGGTCTCACCCCAACCTCAACTCTACCCATCTTCGCTGTTCACCCCTTCTCTAGGCAGACCCCAGACTCACTCTACCGACTCTACTCATTCCTGACACCCCTGTCATCTAATCATCAACACATTAAATTTACAAAACAAAGAAAGTACATTCAAAGAAGCAAGTGAGAAAGTGGGGCATAGAACTAAACAGAGAGTTCTCTAAAGAGGCAATACAAATGACTATAAAATACATACATGTTCAATATCATTTGCCATCAGAAAAATGTAAATTAGAACTGTTTTTGAGATTTTTCTCACATCAGTCAGAATGGGCAAAAGTTAAAAAAAAAAAAGCAGGGGGACAGCGAATTCTAGCAATGATGTGTGGAAAGTGGAAAGGGAAAAACATTCACTGCTCCATAAGATAAAACTCATACCTGGCACCATTCTCAGACCAAGAACCTGTAGATAAACAGATCATAGATCTTAGAGCAAAACATAATTGCTTTGCTGAATGGACACAGTTAAAAAGTGACTTCTAGTGGACATCTATCAATCCTCATCTGAGAAGTTTCTGTTTTCAGTGGATGGTGACTTTCTCAGTGACCCACAACTGGCCAAGGTGCACAGTGTAAGAGAATGCAGAGGTATCATCCCTAAAGGCAAAATATTTGCCACAACCCCTCTCCAAGGCTCAGGAATCATTGTGGAAGCAGAGGCAGATTTTGTGTAAGAGCCAGAGGTGGTAGATGACCACACAGAAACAATGAATCTTAGGAGCTGCAGGACAGCTGCATGTATGAACCCCTGGGTGGTGACAGCACACAGTAAACCTAAGCAAGCCCAACCAGGACCAAGCTCCAAACTTGAGAGGGGAGGTGGTCACACAGCTCCACCACCAGCCATGATGGTGTTGACAATTGTTAGCTTCAGGGAGAAGGAAAGACCGTTTTCTGTAGGAGTGTAGCCCTGATAAATAGAGCAAAGTCCAGTGGAAAACTACAAATCTAAACATATTTGTATATAATGAATTTAAATTTGTCTCATAAGGGTTTGTACTCTTGTTTGTTTTGTTTTATTTTGTTTAAGACATAAAGCAGGCTGTGTAGGGGCAGGGGGGATGAATCTTGGAAGAGTCGGCAGGAGAGGGATGAGTATAATTATATCACATTCTGTGAAACTTTCAAAATAATAAAAGCTAATTCTTTGTCTCTAGTCACTTTGGGACCACCATATATTTGATCTATTACAGTGTGATGACAGTAGCTCCTTTACAGTTGCTGTAGAGCTTGTGAACTTTCCCGTTCCTTAAACATATTTGAATCTCATACAATGTGGATTTTAACATCCTTAAAATACTTAAGGGCAAAGGCTTTTGCTGCCTATAAATATTAGGATTTAGGGCCTAATTCTACACAATAGTTCATGGGGGTTGGGGGTGCTTGACCTGAAGATATGGAAAGAGCATGGAATCTTTTGCTCTTTCTCTCATAGATTGGAACTTTTCTCCTCCTCTGTGGAGACACAGAACTGGCTTAGAGTGCAGGCTCCTCCTGGGACAGATGAGATGAAGTTGGGAAACGGTTGCTTGGCAAACCAAGCACAGAGGAAAGCATACATTCTCTGCCCATTTCTCAAAGGTTCTGTCAGAATCTGTACCCTGGATAAGGAAGTGGCCGTTGAGCTCAGTTCTTCACACTCTACCAGATATAGATTAAGGAAGTGCTTTGCTTCTGTATACTTTTGCCTTGTTTCTATGTACTTTTCATTTTTATTACTGTTATTTATTGAGATGCTGTTTCTTGCAAGGTGAGGTAAGAGTTTATCATGAAATGTGGGTAAGGGGGAGTTTTCAGAGTGGAGGTAATGCCTTTTAGTCTGTATAAAAAGCCATACGAAATAAAGCTTGTTATCAGTCGTTCCTACTCTGCATTCCCTGTGTCCTGATTTGCACAAGACCCAGGGACCCAACACACTAGACACTGACATTCTTCTATGTATGTTATTCCTTTAATGTCTACTGCAGTGTTAGCATGACTGCTGTGAACTGCCTTAGCCCATGGTTTTTGTCTGTTTGTTTGTTTTGTTTTATTTATTTTTTAAAAATAACTTTATATCTCCACCAATTTGAAAAGGCAAGTTTCTGGGTATAGCAATCATGATTAACATTACCTGCTGTCAGTGCTTGGGTAACATCATTTCTGCTTGAGGCCAACTAAGGGAAATGTCTGAAGCTATTCTGATGTTGCTGTCTTTGTAGATAGTGGTTTTTCCTTACGACTTTCACACTGTTTCTTTGCTTTGTATTTTTGACATCCTGAATACAGTATCTCATTCTCTGGTTATTCTCTGGTCATGTCTATTTAGAGTTCTAAGGACCATTAGTGTTCAAATATTTCTTCCTTTCTATACATTTAGAAATATTTCTGCTATAATATTTTAAATAATGTCTCTACATTATTAATGTTTTTCTCAGTTCCTTCTTTTTCCCATGTGTTTGGGGATTTGGTCTCTACATATTTCCCCAGAAGTCTTGGCCATTGAGGTCATGCTCATTTATTTCCTTTTTATTTTATTAATAATGTTTGGATTCAATATTCACCACCTTTGTCTTCTGTTCCTGGTTTTTATTCATAATAGTCCCTTCATTCATTCATTTTATTTAGTTGAATATTTTAATAATGCTTTTCACTGTGTGTTCTGATTCATTGTATTTTTCATTTTCAACATTTCTTACTTTGTTTGTTCTAGATCTTAATTTCCTTGCTCTTTTCTAACTCAGTTTTGCTGGCTTTTCGCTCTTTGCCACTGACTTTACTTCCCAGGTCCTGGATTCAGCTTCTCTACGCCTTAGGTCATTGATCTTTTTCACCAAAAATGTTTCAGAATTACACTGGAGCAATACTGATACAAAAACCATAGGAGTAACCAACCACATTCCACTTGGATTGACATCTTACTTCACAAGATGAAACCTGTACCTGGCACCATTGTTAGGCCAAGAATCTGTAGCTAGACAGGTCAGAGCACTAGGGAAGACCTTACAGGTATTGTACCACTATGGAACATAGTATTAAACCAACTTCTAATGACATCATTAAATCCAAAGATAAATGCATGTCTCAGCCCTCATCAGAGAAGGTTCTATTAGTAGTAGGAGATGTCAGTTAATGTAGTGAGGAGCTGGGGGCCGCTTCCCTGCCACCCCAGCTCCCGGCCGCCAGCTAGCTCTAGCTTATGCCCGAAATAATTACACAGAAACTGTATTCTTTTAAACACTGCCTGACCCATTAGTTCCAGCCTTTTATTGGCTAGCTCTTACATATTAATCTAACCCATTTCTAATAATCTGTGTAGCCCACGAGGTGGCTTGCCAGAGAAGATCTTAACCTGCGTCTGTCTGAAGTGGAAGAATCATGGTGACTCCTGACTCAGCTTCTTTCTCCCAGCATCCTGTTCTGTTTTCTCTGCCTACTTAAGGGTTGGCCTATCAAATGGGCCTAGGCAGTTTCTCTATTAGTAAGAAATCACTCCCACATCAAGTTAACACAGAAGAACACAACTAACTGGTTAAGGTGCAGAGAATAGGTGACCATGGAATGTCCAGCTATAAATGGGATGTCTTTATCATATTTCTTCCTCTCAAAGTTCAGGAATCATTTAGAAAGAGGATGCAGAAAGACTGCCAGAGCCAAGACAGCAGATAAATGCAGGGAAATGGTGTCCTCTGGACATAGGGAAGTTGCACATATGAACTCATATTAATTATGACAGCATGCACATGCCCTGTGCAAGCTCAAACCAAATCAAATCCCAGCATAGAGAAGGAAGAGAAGAGATAGGAACAAAGGCTTACATCTAACCAAAGAGTTGTTGACATTTGATAGGAGAAGAGTCATTTTTAAGAGTAATGTCCTGCTAAGTTGACCAAACTTCAGTGGAAAGCCACACATCTACAATTGGGAAGCACAAACTGGACTTGATGGCTGAAAGGACATAAGCTTGTATGGTTGGATGAATAGGAAAGTGGTACAGATCTGGGAGGAGTTCAGGAGGTGAATGCCATCAGACACATTGTAAGAAAATCTCAAAGAACTAAAAGAAGCTCCAGAAGATGAGCCTGGAAAGATGGCTCAGTGGTTAAGAGCACAGACTCCTCTTACAGAAGACCTAATTTCAATTCCCAGCTCACAATTGTCTGTAACTCTAGTTCAATGGGACCCAACACTCATGGCAAAACATATAAAATGAAATTTCAAACAATTCTCAATCTTAAATTTATATTATTCAGTATCCTTTCATTTAGTATCAGAGTTGCAGTGTTTTGAAAGATTTCAACACCTTTCTTCATGTTTCTTGTGATTCTCTGTTATGATTTGTGTAGTCTGTTGGTTTCAATGTCTCTTCCAGTCCTTGTTGATCATCCTATTCTTGATTTCCCAACCCCTGTACCACTCTGTGAGGAGAAAGCAAACTGTCGCAGCATCAACATCAAACCATAAAAGACAGAAATGAGAAGACCACTGACCAGTCAACTACAGGAGTCACTACTTCACCAAAGCTCACAAAACTTATTCAAGGCTTAGCATTGCTGTGGGCTTATCCAGAGGACAAGCATGCCCATCTGCATTTTGCATGGTTTACCTTTTGAAAGCTACTTCTCCTTTGCCCCTAATCCTCGAGCAAGATGTTTGCATGTTTCCACTATGTTAGACTGACTTCTCTATTATGTCTTTTCTCTGTTTTTTATCTGTATCTTTTCAGGTATCCTTTTTGCTTCCTTTGTGGATTTCTGTCACTTTTCCTTTGTTTCAGTTTTGTATAAAGCCTACCTTTCCCTATTCTAGT